TCCATTGATCACAAGTTTACACAATATATTCATTGTTTTCAAAGTCTGTGGTTAATGTTTTTCATCAGAATATTGTAGTCACTTATATTAGAGTTAGAATTTTATGACCATTAGGTGTTGTTATAAATAAATTAATTTTCAATCATAATTCTCATAATCGATGAAATTATTGCTATAATTACTGTATAGCAATAGCTTTGATATCAATAATTTTTAGCACAAAAAATTGTTACTTCAATGAAATGCATACTGTTCATTGAGTAACAAACTATAATTGTGAGGGACTGGGAGTTTGTGATAAAAATAAATTGAAGTGAATTTATGTCATTCACGACAACTTATACGGCGCTCTACGCATACACTCTAAAGCATTATAGTTTCAATTTAAACACACTTTTCATGATAACTATTCACTAAATTCAGAAATAAAATTCAATAAAACAACAAAAATATTATTTATTAATAACAAAAATGCTTATTTATTTATAACTAAAAAACCCATATATCTCCGGCACGTAAATTTAGAGTATTTCAAGAATCTTCTAAAAAATAATAATAAACGTTAATATGTAGAGCAGTTTATTTGATTTTGAGTAATTATTATATAATTTATAATGTATTTGTATATTTTAAACGATAATTTACTGAATTTGACAAACCCTGTACCTAAACACTCACTATTAGTATACAAAAATTGAAAGTTTTCCAAAGAACCAGAATATAATGTCATAATCGAGATATTTTATATTAAGTCTATTAACAATACATGGTAATACATGTATCATATATCTAATATTATAATGATTTTTATTGACAATAACTCAGGAAAATAAGATAATCAATCTAATAGTATATGCATTAAAGTGAAATAAATAAACACAAAACAATAAAAATCATTCTTATTGTTTATTTTATATATTCTTGACATTAGATACTTGAATCCAATTTACATTTGATTGCCTTTTTATTTCTCTATAAATAGAAATTTTTATGATAATTACAGTATATTATATGTTATAGTTTCAAAAAATTCTTACAATACAAAAATTACAATATCACAGAATATCACAAAGAATTCTCGTATTTTAAAAGTCAATTATAATATTGACTAGTAATCAAAATTTATGAATATAATTGTCACTTAACATAAAGTATTTTTTAATCAAACACTCTGATATTTGATAATTCTTAAATCATTTGAATTGAATTAACATTTCAATTGTAATATATATAATATGATTGACAAAAATAAAGGTTAAATTGAAATATAATTGTGCACATTTTAATATTCTTTAGCTTTAATAAAAAACATTGACTATTAATACGGAATCACAGTTACAAGTATTATCTTAAACATAATATTTTCAGTAATATTAAGAACAAAATAAATTTTACTTTTTATGACTTTTATGACTTAGTAATGTTGCATAATGTGTTGAATGAAAATGTTCATTGCGTATATTATGATCCATTAATGATAAATATTTAATCAAAATTCAAACACAAAAAAGTAATAAAATATTTTAAAATCAAATTAGACTTCAAGCATATAATCAAATTATCTGTCAATGGATCCAAGGGTTTGAAGAGTTTGTGTGTTTTGTAAACCCCTATAGAATAAGTTCCTTCTCCTCCAGAGTCTGTCTCTGTTGGACACCTCCGAGAAGAAGGACGGATGACATATGAAGTTCTTTACGGCCACTTCACTAAATATGTCGAAAACAGTTCCCAAACCCGTGACCATCGAAGTCACTCATCTGTATAGCAGTCATGACAACAAACTCTTGACTCAAACGGATCTCAAATACATTGAATCCAAAGTGTCTGCAAACGCACCAAACGAAGAGCCAAATGATAATCGCTGTCTCGTGGACGCCGTCGCGCGTAAACTGAGCCGAAGATTAGGCGATTGTGACGACAATCTGGTGGTAGAAAGTGATGACAACAACCGATCGCTGATAAGCATACCATTCAAGAAGTCGGCGACTCTTCGCAACTATTACGAAGAGAGACAACTCTTCCGGTTCAGCGGTTCCGTGCGTTATGTCAATCCCAAGAGAGATATGGTTAAGAAGAGTTGGACCAAACTCTGTGACAGCCAACACTTCGCCAACACTTTGGTGATGCCTAACATGGAGTGTCTGAAGCAATTGGCAGACATCGATCGCCTTATACCACGACAACAGTACCACAAAATTGAATCGTTTAGCTTGGGATCAATTGTAGACTTAAGTCATTTCGTTAAGCACTACTCGAGCACTACTTCGAGTCGATTGAAGGGACAGATGAATGTGGCGAAGGATGACATAATGGCTGACTTCCAACACGACCAGAACCGGCTATACCTCAAGTTCCGTGTGTCCAGTGGTGGCCTTAATGGGAAATACACGAAAAATATCAGATATAAGTGTGAATACAATTTCAAAGCATTCACTTCAGCCGTCGTGTCCTTCGCGACGGTTGACAACAAGAAAGTGATGCGAATCTACTTCTCGTTAACACATCCGCCGATTCTCTTCAAAGTATTTATCGATGACTTAGATTATGATGAAGAGCTGAGGGATAAGAAACGGAAGGATAGACTCCAGCGGAGAGGACAACCGGTCTTCACAAGCATAGAGTCCAAAGGCGTTCATAATAATGAAGTCCAGAGTTATTACGCGTGGATTCGTGACAATCACTTTCATGGATGCGATGCCGAGACTATCGGCAAATCCAATGTTCTTATGCTTGAGATCCCTATTATTGTGGACCCGAAGAAACTGCGGGATAAGTATCGCGAACCCCCGGACCCCTACCGTATCCTCTATTTAATGAGACGATTCGCACGAATTCCCATTTATTTCTCTCATATCAAAACACATGAAAGTTTTGACAAAAATCTTGTCAACGAGAGGAATAAGTGCAAAATTAAGTATCCCTTTCCCATAGAATATGCTTTCCTATCAATGTTTTCCAATTCATTTCAAACGTCTGACGAACTTTTCTTTAAAAATCAAAGCAAAATATTCATTGAAAAAGTGACAGAATTTGCTAAAATCGATGAGAAGGCCACCGAAGACACGCTCTTTGAGTTGGCGGCCCTTATCGATAGGAAAGCCATTTTTTGTACAATTAATGCTTTGGAGGAGGTGTTCAAGAATTACAAAAAAATCAACGATAAGACCCAAAACATTAATATCGAGACATCGTTTAACGTGGAGATCGAGAGCATCAGGCGTTGTATTCTAACGCCGACGCGATTCCTCATTCTTCCGCCTCAACCGACACTCAGGAGTCGATTCATTGTCGACAATGACTCCAATTATACGATTCGTCTGTCAGTACGTGAGGACGACTTGGAATCTCTTCAGTTCACTGTTCGCACCAATAGTGACACTCAGAAGCGGTTCCTCAAAGAGATAGTTAAGGAGCGCATTATGAAAGGCATCCCAATAGGGGACAGAGTTTACGAGTTTTTAGGCAGTTCTTCGAGTCAGTTAAGAGACGCCGGAATGATATTATACGCCAAAGATATAGAGAACAGAACCGCGGAATCGATTCGCGAAAATATCGGCGATTTTAGAGAGACAGAGATTCGCCGAAATCCTGCCAAATATGTGGCCCGACTGGGGCTCGCATTCTCTCAAGTCATGACTCACATTGAAGTCAAGAAAAGTGAGACACTAAACATTGACGACATTGTCAGTGAAAACATGAAATTGGATGAACACGGAGACGAGTTGCACGAACCGTACGTATTCAGTGATGGCATCGGAAAAGTGTCGCAAGAAATCATGAAAAGAGTTTACGAAAAGCTTCCCAATGAGTGCAGGTATTACAAGCCCTGTGCGATGCAAATACGTTACGGCGGAACGAACCGTACGTATTCAGTGATGGCATCGGAAAAGTGTCGCAAGAAATCATGAAAAGAGTTTACGAAAAGCTTCCCAATGAGTGCAGGTATTACAAGCCCTGTGCGATGCAAATACGTTACGGCGGTGTGAAAGGTATGGTCTGTTTTGACCCGACTCTCAATGGATCCCAAATACTATTTCGCAAAAGTATGGTTAAGTATAAGTCTAACTCCGAACAACTGGGCATAATTAAGCTGTCGGCGCCCAGACCTCTGTATCTAAACCGGCCTATGATTACAATACTGGAACAGTTAGGCGTTGAGTCGAGAGTGTTTCAGAAGATGTTGATGGAAGACCTCAAAATGCTGTCCAATTCTATGGTGTGCGAGTGCTCGGCCACCAAATTACTCCAGAACTCGTCTACTTTAGGCATTCCTTATCGAAAACTATACAAATCGGGAATTCCTTTCCTATCGGAACCGATATTTAGACAAATTGTCGATTCAGTGATTAATCATAGGATTTATGAACTGAAACTTAAGGCCCGAATCCGCGTCCCCTGGAATTGCGGGCGAACTGTATTTGGAGTTCTGGACGAAACTGGAACTCTAGAGTACGGACAGGTGTTCGTCAAGTTGTCTGTTGTGGATAAGGACAATATGCCGACCGACGAGACATTTATACTGAATGACGAGATAATGGTGACTAAGTTTCCGTGTCTCCATCCGGGAGACGTCCGAAAGTTCACAGCCGTAGACGTGCCGGCATTGCGCCACATAAAGGACTGCATTGTTTTCCCCCAAAAGGGCAAACGTCCGCATCCGGACGAGATGGCCGGCAGTGATCTCGACGGCGATGAATATGCAGTCATTTGGGAACCAAATAAAGAGGAACCATTGGAACTGATTTTCAAGAGATCCAATGAAAAGCCGATGATTTTTCCGACGTCTAATGCCATGCACTTAGACCACGACGCAGAGGTCGAAGACATTCTCGACTTCTATTGCAATTATATTGTCGGCAATAATATAGGACTCCTGGCCAGCGCTCATCTCGCGAAGGCTGACTTCTTGGAAAAAGGCATTTATGATGAGATCTGCATGAAATTGGGTCCGTTATAGTCACCGCTTTATTTTACACATTAGTTCACAGTTTTATGTGAATAAAGAATATTTGAATAATTCTTGAATCACTTGTTTATAGCCAACAAATATGCAATCGCTCTCGACTTCGCTAAGACTGGAAGAGTTGAGAACATTGAATGGTTTGTAGTTTATAGGAATACACGGTATTTGCATTTTGTGTCTAATTTATTAAATTGGCTTTTATTTAAGGAATGAAAGACCCACTATTTACCCGGATTTTATGCAAAAGTTTTCCACCAAAAGGAGTTATTTATCGAAAAGAATTTTGGGTCAATTGTATCGACACTGCGATCGGTTTGTACTCTCATTCATTCATTTCTACTTACGGTAGACCACTGTTTTCTCAATCATATTCAAACCCGTATGACAGGTACAGTTGGGCCCTCTATTCTGATAAAAATATGGAGATAACTGCCAAACCCAACGAACACCTCAAAGTTAAAGGTTTGTCATTCTCTACATACTTTAGTAATACTTTACTCATAATAACAATACTTTTACTGATGAATAGGTTGGGAGAAGTACAGAGAATCGGCACTAAATGCATACAATGACTATAAACGGAAAATTGAATTATTGTTGAATCAATTCGGAGTGGAAAGTGAGGCAACACTCCTGAGTGGCGCCTTCAGTAAGACCACGAAATACATGACGGGACGGACTGAGACCAATGATGTGCATGAATTGTTGGAGAATATGATCAATAAATTGTTTATTGAGTTTAAAAGTCGATTCAATGATGAGTGCAAACTCGAAGACACCACTCAAACGGATGGTGAAGAGTTGAAAGAGCGGAGACAGAGGGCCAGTGCCTGGTATATGATTCCCTTTGAATTGGAGGGCGATTTAAGTGACAGATATTTCGGGTTTTCGTGGACTATAACCGATGAGATTTGCAAACTAATGAAAAATTGCGACAAATTTAATGTTAATAAAGCGGACCACAAGTGCGTTGAATTAGCGACACAACTGATTGACGATTACTTTGAACACAATTTCTTATATCGCGAGCCAGTGGTCGACCACTTGACTAATGTGTCGGACAAACGACAACTCATTATGAAAGCGCGCTGTTATACGGCTGAAGTGGTGCTAAAGGCATGGCTCGAGAGACAGGACCACCTGTTCTTTAAGCGAAAAATAGGCCGAAAATTGATTTCATCGAAAGATGCAGTCATTTCAGATATGGATATAAAGTTGAGGCGAAAACTCATAGAAAACAGAAACAAACTAATGACTGAAGCGAATGACATTTTGGACAAACCTCTCAAAACAGCCGGAGAATTGGTAATGAATTTTCTAAAAGACTCAATGAATGAATGGCTGGACATTAAGACAAT